CAAAGTCCCTGGGTGGTGTAAATGGTTAACACTCTGGGCTGCTAACCAAAAGGTTGGAGGTTCAGGTTCATCCAGAAAGGCCACAAATATCAGCCATTGAAACCTAACGGAGAACGCAGATCTTCTCTGACACATATAGAGTTGCCGTAAGTCAGAATAGACTTGGTGGCCACTGACAAGTACTTTCCAGGCATTTCACATGTATTAATGACTTTTATCTTTAGCATAGCTCCTTGACAGATGAGCAAATTGAGGTTGGTGCTTCAAGAAACTGAGTATTGTGACTAAGCTTTGAAATAAAGTTCCTAAATTATTCGTGAGAAAAAAATATGAAAAATAACACATCATAGGCATTATTTAGTGACATGTTAACTCATAGAACTTTTAGGAACAATAAAGAGCTCTGGTAGCAGAGTGGTTACGAATCAGGCTGCTAGCCTCAGAGTCAGCAGTGCAAATCTACCAGCTATTCCGTGGGAGAAAGATGAGACTTTCTCCTTGAGTAAAGATTTACAGCTCTGGAAACCCGGTACAGGGTCTCTATGAGTCGGAACAGACTCCTCGGCACATAACAACAACAACGTCTAACAGTTATAGGTATGAATATGTGATTTAGCAAAAAACTACAAAGAGCAGATTTTAGTTCTTTCTTATTTTGGACATTAGGATCAGCATTTTAAAGCAAAAGAAACCCTGAGAAATCATCTACATTTATTATCACATTTATTGTCATAAGTCTAGCAATGGCTCTGCAACCAGCTGAGGTTTTCCATAAACTGATGTAATTTAAGAAATAAGTTGTTTCAGTTAATGGTGACTTTTCGTGATCCTGTATAGCATTTCTGTGGAGTGACTTAAAGAGTTTGAACCATCGACTTTGTAGCTAGCAGTCTAGTGCGTATTATATCGTGCCACACTAGGACTCCTTAAGAAATATAATTTATCAGAATAATTAATCAGTGTTTCATCAATTTTGTCCTGTATTTTATATATAGATTTCAGCTGACTTAGCAACTAAAAGTAGTCATTTGTTTTTTTACAGTAATCATGTATTGATTTTTTTTCCTTCATCCATTCAGTAACGTTTATTGAGTACCTACTTTGTACCAGGCTCTATGAATTGACCTGTTGTTGGTACTTAATTGTCTAGTCTAATTCAATTTTCTAAACTTTTCGTTGGCTTGGTACCTTTATGTATCATTTCAAGTTACTACATGTATTTTGGAGTTCTCAGACATAAACCAATTGGATGGAAGTGATTTATTGTTTCTCCAGTGTTCCTTTGTAAACTAAACTAAGCATTAAACTTCAAGGACAAGAGATAATCATTGTTAGATTTTTCATCAGTTTACTACCCTTCTTAAACCATCATTTTCATATAGTACCTGTGTTTATTTTTTTAACAGTAGATTTTTTAAAATTTTGAAAAAATTTAAATATATATATAAAATGAACTCAGATAAAGTAAGGAATCATGTCTGAAGGAGTTTTATTCTTTTTTGTAGGAGGCATAGTGTAGCTTTTTAAGGATACTGACTGTGAGACAGATATATTTGATTTACTAGAACATGTTCTAAGCCCCAACCTAGTGTAAGATCTTTTATTTTTCTTTTCTTATTGCTGAGCTTATAAAGCCTGCTTGTACAGTAGTCTCTCAGTGGCCCAAATGGTGTATTCACTTAGCCACAAATCAGAAGGTTGGAGGTTGAAACCCAACCAAAGATGCTTTGGAACAAAAGGCCTGGTGATCAGCTTTAAGAAAAATAAGTAAATCAGCCATCAAGTTATCATTACTTTTCTTATTTTTAATATTTTATTGTGAATTATATGATAAGTTTACATGGGAGAACATTAGCTTTACATTCTTCTGCTCCATCTCTCCACATCATTGTCTCTGCCTCTATCTCTGGCATCATTGCTTCTCTGGGTAGAGTCCCGCTCTCTGCTCTTCTACAAAACCTCTACCTTTACATTTCCAACCCTCACAAGCAGTCCTGATAACAATTATTCTTTATTGTATCACAACAGACCTATTTACATCTCCTTTCATAAGCCCCGCTCAGACTGATTGGATACTACTCAGTGGAGATTCTACCTTCCTCCACGCCCTCTGGATCTAGGCTCGCTCTTGAAAGCTTGTAAGCCAGTCACTTCTTGCCTTTGTAA